GTGTGCGTGCATGCCCAAGATCCCGAGAGGAGAATGGAGGAGAAGGGATTGCGGCGTGGCCATCCCCCCTGGGGGGTGATTTCTTGCTTTCTATCTCTCTGTCTCTCTCTGTCTGGCAAGTGCACGCGCCCTATAGTAAAAACCTCTCAAAAAAAAAAAAAAGATTTCAAAATTAGATTAAAAGAAGTCAGATTTCTTTCAAAGGAATAACAGTTGAACTGAGAACTGACATCTTGAACAGAAATCAGAAGACAATGGAATTATATCCTCAGTGTAGCGTTCTATAACCAGCAAGTTGTTTGTTTGTTTTTTTAGTTTTTTGCCATAGAGTGTGTCATTCACTCTCCTCTTGAGATTTTGGGTCCACATGCACACACGTTTGTTGTGCTTTTCTGGGATTTGAACCATAGTCAGCCATGTGGGAGTCCAGTGCCTTAACCACCATGTCACCGGCTGGCCTACAGCACAAACATTTTTATGGAACAAAGGTGTATTAGTCAGGTTGGGCTGCCATCACAAAGCACTACAGACTGGGTGGTTTAAACATCAAATCTTTATTTTCTCATAGTAATGGCAGCTAGAAGTCGAATTCAAGGTGCCTGCAGTGGTCTCTGGTGAGACTTCTTCCTGATTAGCAGGTCGCCACCTTTTCCCTATGCCCTCACACCATGGAGTTTTTATCTACCAGTTTTAGCACCCATTGATGTTTCTTACGTAAAACTTTTCTCTGTGTGCACACACAGAGAAAGAGAGAGAGAGAGATCTCTAGTGTCTCTTCCTCCTCTTTTTTTTTTAAGGGAGATTTTTCTATAAGTCATGTGTACTCACCAGAGAGACAGAAAGTGAGAAATCGCCCCCCAGGGTGATGGCCATACTGCAGTCTCCTCTCTCAGGATTTTGGGCATGCACCCACAGAGGCTTAAGCCACCAGGTCTGGGACTTGAGTACTTAGGAGTCCAGTGATACAACCATTCGCCATCTGCTGGTCCCATCTTCCTCTTCTTATGAGAAGATCAGATGTATCTGATAAGGCCACATCAGTATGACCTCACGTATTGAAGGCTTTCTCGCTGTAAGTAGGGCTTTCTCCAGGAGCAGGACTTAGTCTCCCTTGACACAGTTTCCAGTTTTCTACCTCCTCCCAACTTTTCAGTGTGGTTGACCCTGTGGTTATCTGCTTTAAACAACCACCTCCTGGTGACCACCTCCCTATGTGACAGATAGAAACAACCTACTTGACTCCTCCAGGGACTTCTTTCCCCTAACACATGCTTCACGGACTATACAGATACGCAGTGACCATCTCTCAATCACAGTGTGACCCCATGGAACTTATTTGAGCTTGCTCCCGACCCACCAGTTAGAATTCCCTGTAAGCAACCCATCCAAGTAACAACCTAAATCCCAATGAGATTTGATCCATAGGTCGGGACTTGAGCCACAGTCAGTCACATGGGAGTCCAGCAACGTAACCATTACACCATCTGCTGGCCCCATGCTCCTGTCTCTTAATGCCTACCTGCTGCTCGAGCACATGCGTCCTTGACAACTCTCCTCTCTTCCCATTGGCCTTAAGAAGGTGTGCTGCCGTCCACCCTGGAATCTGGAAGTAATCACTGCTCCTGTTATTGCATGTTTTCTTGAGTTACCTCCCAGGTCTTATTTGAACAAAATACCAAATCTAACCTCTTTGCTCTTTGCCACGTCTACTGCAGGATGAAGACCATTCTCAGCACTCAGACTGTTGGCATTTCAGAGAATGTTGGCATCACTCTGAAGGGACACACAGTTACTGTGAAGGGCCCCAGAGGAACCCTGCGGAGGGACTTCAATCACATCAATGTAGAGCTCAGTCTCCTTGGAAAGGAAAAAGAAGAGGCTGCAGGTTGACAGATGGTGGGGAAATAGAAGGGAACTGGCTATAGTTTGCGCTCTCTGTAGTCACGTACAGAGCATAATCAAAGGTGTTACACTGGGCTTCTGTTACAAGAGGAGGTCTGTGTACGCTCATTTCCCTGTCAACGTTGTTACTCAGGAAAATTGGTCTCTTGTTGAAATCCAAAATTTTTTTTTTTTTTTGGAGAAATTTTCGCCATAGGGCACGTGCGCTCGCCAGACAGACAAAGAGAGACATAGAGACAGAAAGCGAGAAATCACCCCCCAGGGGGGATGGTCACGCCGCAATCCCTTCTCCTCCATTCTTCTCTCGGGATCTTGGGCACGCACGCACAGGCGCCTGGCGTGAGTTTTAAGCCACCGGGTCCGGGGCGCGAACCACAGTCGACTACATGGGAGTCCAGCGACATAGCCATTATGCTAACTGCTGGTTTCTAAAATCCAAAATTTCTTGAGTGAAAAATAATCCAGAGGGTTCGAATGAGACCTGGTGTTGCTTGTTCAGTATCTCAAGCCCAGAAAGTTGAGTTAATCCTTGATGGCAACGATACTGAACTTGTTTCAAATTCAGCTGCTTTGATAAAGCAAACCACGACAGTTAAAAATAAGGATATAAGAAAAGTCTTGGATGGTACCTATGTCTCTGAAAAGGGTACAGTTCAG